TTTTGGTCTAGGCCCGAAACGTCAGCCTTCCTGCTCCTCTGATGCTGCTTGTCCTGCTGTGTTCATCCAGCTCTACACCTTGTTATCTCAGATTCTCCAGCATCTGCAGTTCCTACTATCTCTGAAATAACTTATTTCCAAAACTTAAGTATGAAAAAAGTTCTAACTAAATTTGTTTATTATTCACGATTTCCTTGCTTTTAACTTTCATGATTTGTGATCTTCAGATTTAAATTCTTGAATACAGTGAATAATTTACTTTACGCAATTTTGTCAATCTTGTTTATATTCTTAAGAAATATTTCAGACTGCAATTTATATTCCAGTATACATAGTTAGTTGCATTATTTATTGTATAAACAATCCTAAAATGAACTTGTCAATTATATACGGTCATGTTGGACATGTAATATTCCAGTGTTCTTTTTTAATAGGAATAAGGAAGCAACTGATTGAAAAGTATATGTATCACAAAATAAGGTAATAACTGACTGAGGAAGTGGAAGGATTTTGATTTATCTGACATTTTAAAACATAACTACATACTCCATGGCAATGCCTCCACCAATCAGTCCTTTTGATAACCAGTCAGCACATTCTTCTCATGCAATATAAAAATATTATAATTTCTTGACATTGGTATTCTTACAAATTGTCTTGATGAGTGCAAGATGAAAAGCTTTGAAAACTGTCTGTTTTCAGCAGTTCTCAATTGCTATACCATCAAATAGCCATTGATAAAATTTGTTTTGTCCTAATACTAAACAATTATAGCTTCTACTTCTATGCACATTGGATCACAAAATCTGTGTACTTTTTTTCATATTTTCAGTCCTGAATTGATAATATTTTTGACATTTTCAACATTTCTTCGAAGGGGCTTCATTGCCCCCTCTTTGTGTACAAAGCAATTAGTCACACATTTTATCATTGCACATACAAGCTGAAAAAATTGACAGGACTACTAGGTTTTTAAATGACCAGTTTTAGACTTTACGCTTCTGCTGCACTAATTCCAAAAAAGTGAATTAATAAACATATAATTACAAATATAATTTTGAGACTTTTCAATTAGTGTCTGTTTGTGGGATTGTTACCATGCAGAAATGAGCTTCGTGCGTCCAAAACTGCCCTCTGAGGACCTCCCTTTCCCGGACTCATTTATGTATTCTTGGCAGGGTCAATTTCAGATCCAAGGATCTTAAAGACTAAGAAGGTTCCCAGTACTTACAACAAGAAATTAATTCTGGTATTGCAGGACAACATACACAAATACTAAACATTTGAGCAAAGTTTCCAAATTATTTGGTCTGACAAAATGTTATTTGAGGTTTCCCTGGGCAACGAAAAGCATCAGCCTGTTTTCCCCAATGGTATTGATCTATCCAATCCTGAAAAGGGTAGAAGGCAATTTTATCACTTCAGTCCGTAACACAAACACCATACAGACGAACTCACACTACTATGTTGTTTTGCCAATTATTAATTTGCTAAACTTCTTGTTTTTTCACCTTTTGAAGAGTTCTTTTTTAAAATTTCTTAATGGGATATGGGTGTCACAATGATTGTCCATCCCTAATGTCAACCATATGTTGTGGGTCTGCAATCACATGTAGGCCAGACAGTGTAAGGACAGCACATTTCCTTCCCTACAGTACCTTAGTGAACCAGATGGGTTTTCTTAAGACAATCAACGGTAGCTACATTATTGCCATTAGGCCAGCTCTTTATTCCAGATTTTTATTGAATACAAATTTTACCATCTGCTATGGTGGGATTAAAACTTATGTCACTTGAATATTGATCTGGGGTTCTGGATTGCTAGTCCATTTACATTAGCACTCCACCTCCACTTCCTAACCCATTTTGCACTAAATGACCTTCAAATACATTTTTAAATCAACTAAAACCTCACTGACTTCTTTTAATACTTTCGTATTGACACTGAAATCAAAGCAGTGAAAATCGATCACAATACTTTTTATTAACTAGCAGTGACCACATTGCATGAATGAATTAAAAGAAAAGTTGCCGCTGTTGACTCTTTAACATGGCAGTTGGAACATTTGGGCAAATAGGAATTTACCAGATTACAGGTAAATGAAACAAAGTGCAGGTCAAGTGAACTGGTTGACTGGCATACTCTGCTTTCATATATGAAGTATGAAATCTGGTTTGAGCTTGCTTCCATTTTTGTGTGAAAACACAAGCGTTCCATTTTATTTTCTATTTCTGGAAATAATTTCTTCGGTCATTATTGAAAATTATTTAAATGGAAAACTATATCCTCCTTTTGAATTCCAACAACTTGTTTTATCCTGATTGGGCTCCTTTCAAAATTTTATTTACATTTTATTGTAGTTGCTTATTCACTATTGGGCTTCGTATCTAAGTCAAACCGAGCACTCAACATCTAATTAGATATTTAGGTGAAATTTCTGAAATTAGCCAAAAGATTGAAACTTGTAAAACCTCTATGTTTTAATTGAGATAACTGGAAAAGTTTAGTTTGTTTCTTTTATTATTTTCATACCATATTCTTTGGTGAGTCAAATGTTTTCAAAAAGCTCACTTGGAACCATTGGCCATAATGCACATCTGCTTTTTTAAAATTCTCTTTGATGTATTACTTCCTCTGACACAAATACCTGGTGTGCCACACTCTAGATGGCTTAATTGAATGACATTTCCTCAGCTTATTATGGATCTCGACTTTTAAAGAAAGACCTCAATCCAGCTGATTTGTTTCATCTGGCTTATGTCACCATATGTAAGCCATATGTGGCATGTGATAATTTTAGAGGCGTCTTGCTGCCTTCCTTCAATTCTTTATGTGTTTACATCTAATGGTAGTGGTAGGCACGCAGCAAACTTAATGCTTGTTGATACAATGCTGAATGAACATTTAGTCACCATTTTCATGTACCTTTTTTCTTCATGTTTCAGCAAAGATATATTTGATGCACAGGAAGCTGCCTCAACTTTACAACCAATGGAATCGCTGACCGTAACAGGACATGACTTCAAGGTGGAAGGTTTTAAATCTGTTCCACGTCCTCCTACTATGGTAAGCATTTAACTATACAACACTGAATATTTAGCCTCGTGCCTCAGTACCTAGTACAAATAAACTGAATAAAGTCCAGTTATCCAAATATGGAAAAGACAGAATTGTCTAGCCATTTGGCACAATACCTTTTAACATACATATTTGTAATGTAGTGTGAGAGTTATTAAATGCAGTTGTCAAATAACATTTCTCAGGGAGTAGTCTGGAGGAAAAAAATTAAATAAAACTTTAACAGATTATAAACAATAAAAATATCCTGCAGCAAATGCTGCATGACTCATTTAAAATGAAAAATATATGGGACAAAATATTTATAGGAGTTTGACTTCACTTTTTGAAGGCAGTTTACACTTCATGATTCCGACATGAACAATTGTTTATTTGTATCATACTTCAATCCCCTGGTTGAACAGGGTATCGTCTAAATAACATTTCCTGACCATGCAAGGCATTTATCAAAATGGCATTTATTATAAAATAAGTTGTAATATTTTGCATGAAGCTGGAAAACTAGTTATTGATTAATATGTAGTATTGTTTTTTTACCTATTTTATATAACTGCAGTTAAACATTACCATGTTCTTCTTTGCTGAAGCAGATTTAGCCTTTGTGTAAAATACCGCAGAATTAAGGTTAAAAATGCAGAGAAACAAATGGTAATTGAGTTCCCAATATTCTTTCAGTCCAGTCCCTTTTAACAAAGCTTTTGCTGTTCTGCTAATATGTCGTTGCCTGTAAACAGCTGGAAGGCAAAATACACAAGAATGTTTGCAAAGTAATATATGGACAAAATACAGAAAACTGCAGGTTAGTATCTCAGGTACTCTTTGGGGCATGCGAACACTGATGTGTTCAATTTCTCTTATAAATAAGTTAATTGTCATAGAGTCACATAGCAAGGAAACAGACCACTCAATCCAACACGTCCATGCCAACCAGATGTCCTAAACTGATCTAGTCTCATTTGCCAACATTTGGCCCATATCCCACTCAATCCTTCCTATTCATGTGCCCATTCAGATGCCTTATAAATGTTGAAATTGTACCAGTCTCCACCACTTCCTCTGGTAGCTTGTTCCATACACGTAGCACCCTCTGCATGAAAAGGTTGCTCCTCATGTTCCTTTTTAAATCTTTCCCCTCTCAACTTAAACCTATACCCTATAGTTTTGGACTCCCCCACCCCTAGGAAAATTACCATGGCTATTCACCCTATCCATGCCCCTTATGATTTTATAAACCTCCGTAATGTCACCCCTCAGCCTCCGACCCTCCAGGGATAACTAAGCTCCAGTCTATTCAGCCACTCGCTATGTGAAGAAAAAGCAAAATGTATTGACAAATTTTGGAAATTTGATCATAAAATAATGATGATAGCAACATTTTTGTTCAGTTTCTGAAAGAGAAAAATAAGTTATCAATTTTGGCCCAACTCTTGATTATTTTGGGCAGTGTTGCAGTTCTTAATATTTTCTGATCTTTTCACCTTGAGTGTTTGTGGTTTAATATTCATCCATGTCTCTTAAAATAATGTATAAATCACTTAAAAGCTAATGAATAAATGTTTATTCAATGTTTTTCGTTATTCTATACCAAACACATAAAAGAGACTTTAATTTTCAATTAATGTTGCCATGTATTGTCAAACCTTGTTTTGTGATTCAGTGTATGAACTGCTCCTTACAGATGCATAACTACAAAACAGAACAGCCTATTACGATCTGGACTGACCATGCCATGCAAATACATGTAAGTCCATTCTTTGTTGAAGGATAATAATATGTTAATAACTATGTTATCATAATACTGAAAGAATCTATACAATTGCATTTAGAGCTGCATGCAAAATTGCACAAGAGGAAATTAAACACCAAAATTTACTACATATTCAAGAAAGAAATGTTTTAAATGTAAATGTAAATGTTACTAGAAATGTAACATCTAGTCATGTTTAACTGAAAATGTACATTTTTCAGTTGTTCAGAATTCTGAGATTTAGTGATCAAATTCTCTCTCATATGATCTAATAAACTAAAACAAAAAACCAACTGGAATCAGATCCTTGATAGTAACGAGCATTTTATCATCCATGAATACATTTACAGACATTTTCATGTCAGCTTAAAAATTAAATTCCATCCATAAACAATCTTCAGAAAACTAGCCTTTTTAATTTGATTATGCAAAACCAGATTGAAAGCCTAACGTTATCAAGACTAGTTAATTCAGAATTTTTGCTCACACTGGGCTCTCTGTTTTCACCTGAATCCCTGTGTGGTTGAATATATGTGTTCCATCTGAAAAGGAGCTGTGTATAATTAGAAACCTCACTGACAGCTGTAGATTTACGAGGCAGGGGGTATGGAGGAGGAGGCCAATACTGACAGCTGCTTGATGCTTGTTAGAACAGTAATGGAAAAAAATGATTGCGCTCAGAAGGTTATTTCAACAATCATATCTTGGGTTTAACTGGTTCAGTCCATCTATATTGAAGATTTATGGATGAGTGACATATTGCAATACTACAGTTCTTCTGTTGTTTTTGGACCAAATACCAAAAGCATGTGACTATCGAGAATGAGAACTAAGAAGCAACTTCGCATAACTAAAGAAAGAAACATAAACAATAGGTTTTAAATTTTGATACACCTGCATTGAAAACTAATTGACATGCTTTATAACTTTGCACGAAGCATGAGAACATGCCATTATATTTAGAGATTGCACATCACAAGCAAGATTGTGCAAATTTGTCAGTTTGAATCATGAAAAGGTGGCTGTGAGACCTATGATAGAGCTAAGCGAATATAGAATAATTTACAGATATTAAGCTAGGCAGAGGCGTAATGTCATTCCTAAGACAAGATATGACAAAGATTGCAAGTTTATAATTTAAGGGAGGGAGAAATCAGAAGCAGTAAGAGTAATATTAAAACCAATAACATTGCATTTGTTGAATGCAGTGGATTAACAACTCAAATAAAAACACTTTAGACAATAACAAGGCTGCAGTAAGACGATAATCATGGTATATTTCTAAATCTCAAAAGTAAAGTTGAAGAATCTGTAGCAAATAACTTATGAGGCATTAGTTCAAGTAATTCCATTCTGAAAATTCAAAACAGTGAATGGATATGTTGCTCCTTTAGTATTTATCTGTTCACTATGGCTGATTCGCCACACAACAGTACTCGTTCCTAGGACTAGTTGCCTAACTGCTTTGTGCATATTAAAGAACTATAAACATAGCTGTATTGTACACAATACTGGGAAGACTTTTCTAACATCCATGTTGTATATGGGTTTGGAAGGATCTGAAACATCCCATCCTATCCCCGTAACCCCACATTTACCACCTGCCACTCCCCAGCCCATTGACCCAATTGATCAAGATCACTTTGTAATCTTAGATATCTTTTTCACTGTTCACTATACCATCAATATGGCTGCCATCTGCAGATGTACTAGCTGTGCCTCCTATATTCTCATCCAAATTGTTTATATTAATGACAAACAAAAGTGGACCCAGTGCTGATCCTTGTGGAACACTGCTGGTCATAGGCCTCTAGTCCTGCAGGCCCCTCTGTATAAAGGAGACTGTGCTAAGCCATCATTTGTGACTGATGTGAATGCTGACTTCTCACATTACTAAGGACCTTTTCTGTGTTAATGTTCCCACATGAGGTCGTGGTAACCATGAACGATAGATCCAGCCACAGCAGGGGCTGTTATCGCTGTGGCCATGATGCTGTGACAACACAGAGAGGTTGAAGATGAATGGATGCGCAAACAAGACCAGGACCAGCAACATTCAGTGCCTGCTGAGCAGTCTCCGCATGAAGAAGTCACAGCTGACATCCCCTCCGGATACAGAGGAGAAATCTGTCAGCTATGATACCATTTCCTGCAGATCAACGAGGCACAGTGTCATCACAGACTGAGGATAGCCCAGAACATCATCAGAAGACTATACCACCTCGTAGAGCAGGATCTGCAGAAGTGGTGGTGATCTTATTCTGGTGGGCATCACTAAATCAGCAACCAGCTGATTCTGAGGATCCACTAGGGACCTATGTGGGATCTTACAATTCTCAACCTACAAATGCATCAAGGCTATTACTGATGTAATTTGTACACTTTGTCTCATGCCCCTGTATTGAAGTCAGGTCCACAGCCTGGACAGGGTAGGTTTTGCCAACACAGCTGGCTTCCCTTGGGTGCAGGACACTATAGATTGTACACATGTCTTGTTGAGAGTACCCTATCATACCACAGCTGGCCTTATCAACAGAAACAGCTTCTCTTCCATCACCAGCAATAGTGCGCTGTGTAATCATAGCATTCTGTGCCCTGTACAGCTGGAGCAGGCAAAGAGGGGATGTGATAGAGGCTGAGGAACTGGGAGAGCAAAGCATCATTGAAGAGGAAGGTGAGGACAACAAGGAAAAGGAACATCACCGTCAGCATGATTGGTCATTGCAGCATCTAGAACAACAAGCCAGCCAGGACTTAATTGGCACTCTAATCCAATTGATGTGAGCTGGGTGCAGTAATGGTAAAGTTGTTTTTGGTTGAAAACAAGTAGTCCCTATATGCTCCCAATGGGAGTGCCTCTTTGTTTATCTTCATTTTTGTTGTTACTCAATATAGGTAAATGTCAACTTTTTGAAGGTTTTCCAGTGCGTGATGCCCCCATGTTGAATGACGAAAAGAAGATGGGTTACGCTGGGCATTGGAAAAAGTGTAGTAGTCCCTTGGACAGGGTTCTAAGATGGGATAGTGTTGAGGATGGGTAACCTGTTCTAATAGCTGCATTCGCAATGACAGGTGATGATGTGAAATAGCAATACATTTATGAAAGTGCAGTGGTGTTTGCAAGGTACTGTGAACTGTGTTATCTCTGTGCTCGAGGATGCTGTTCTTTTTCATTCCCCTCCTGCTACACACACAGTGAAGCATCAGCTCTTGACTGGCAGTACTTGGCTGGATGCACAGTTTGGCATTTATAACGTGGCACTGGCACCAGGAATCCCAGGAAATCTAAGCAGTGACAAGTTCTTCAGCCATTGTTGAGCGAAGATTGCACGACCAAGTTGCCATAGAGGACCTGTCCATATGTCATAAGGTGAGTTATGGGGAATTGCACTTGAAAACTCACTGGGGCAAATGGAGAGTAATACTTGAAACTTACCAAGACTGATACTGAGCCAGGTTTTGGTAAAATTCAGTTCAATGCTTCAGGTGGGTGACCTTTACTCAGAACTGAAGAGAGGTAGAAATGTAAGAGTTTCAAGCCAGTAGGTGGAGATGGGCTGGTGGATTGGCAGGAAGAACAAAGGAGAAAATCTGCCTTCAGGGATGCCCAAGGGAGATGAAGGGACAAAAGGTTTCTTGATGCAAAAGCCAGAGAGAGTTATAAAGAAACAAAGGTTGTGTCCAAACGAGGAATGGATTGTTACATAAAGCCAGATGAATGTAACATGAAGAGTTGAAGGAAGAAAGTAGATAAGAGCGAACCAAGTAAAAGATTTACAAAATAGACAGAGAACAAGATGAAGGCAGAGGTTGTGATCTAAAGGAAAGGTGCGATGGAGATGGAAAGTGTGTTAGATCAGAATGAGCAGTGCAATAGAGTGTCACAGAGGGAATGGTCTCTTCAGAATGTTGAAAGGGGAGGTTTTACTGTAACTAGCAGAAATTGGAGTGTATAAAGAATTTAATGTGCAGGCCAGTGGGTGAAAGGTGAGGTCATGGGGAAACCTATCAGTTTTAGGAGGGAGGGGAAGGAGTAAGAGCAGAGGTCCTCAACAGGGAATGAATGGGATGGCCATGCAGCATGCAGGATGAGAAGCCTTAATTAAGATAAAGTACTGACATGTAGGAAGCACTGGAGTGGAAGATGCTGTTCCTCTGTGTAACAGGCCCACCTCTGTGCTTTGGAACTTTTGGCTGAATTGTATCAAAAATTAGCTGAGTATCAGTTTTACATAATTTCACGAATGTTGCTCTCTGTGAGCTCTAGTGAGCTATCTCACGCAATCCTCTGCTACCCACTTTAATATGTAAGCAGCATACCTCCATATTGCTCAAAGTACACTATTATGTGTTCACCAATGGCAAAAGTACTAGTCACTGTGATCGCGTGGGGATTCCTAGCACCAGGATCATTTTTAAGGCTCAGCTGTGCACCAGGCTATGTGCCTCAGGAGCTGTCTTCCAAGTGCATGTAGTGCAAGGGGATTGAAAAAGTACAGCTTCTGAGTGCGCACAGGGGACATGGCTGACACTTCATTGCAAATGGAAGCTTACATTCATAAATGACGTGCTATTTAACATTATCACCTTTCTAATTATCAGTCATTGTAAACACAGCTACAAGAACCATACTGTACAGACTCCCTATTCTTAGCATCATACCACTTTAGAACCCTATGTAAGAGAGTGCTACTCTACCATATTGTAACATCTTCTTATTGTTCAGCGTGTGAACATCCCATGCTGGAATACCTTCAAACAGTTAAAAACATTAACTTTTATTGAAAAAACAACAAAAGTGGAGAAAATAGAAAACAAAACTGCATTTGCTTTAGCAAACAGGCACGAGCCACTTGACTGTAGAACAGCAACAAATTTACAGTCAATGAATGATCAATTCACCTAACTCCTATCTCTTGGAAATGGGTGTCAATGAAGTCCTGTCTGCCTTGTTGCATCTGACACTGCATGAGTTTATCAGTCTTAAGGTGATGTTCCTTCTGCTCAATGTCCTCATCTTCCTTCTTTCCTTGCTGCCACTGTTCCAGTTCTTCAGCTCCCATCACATCTTATCTGCTTGCTCTAGTTGTGCAGAGCAAACCATTCTACAACACACTCTGACTGGTTAATACTAAAAGGCCAGCCCAGATTGATCCAAGTATCAGAAGCTGATCTTCAAAAGTTCTGTCATCTGCTCCACGATGGCCTTGATGGAAAATGGATTATGTTGTATCAACGCACAGCCTTAATCAGGTGTTACATAAGAGAGTCAAGAGCTAGGAACAGACTGTAGCCCTTGTCTCCCAGTAAGCATTCTTGTAAGGCATCCAGCCCTTGCAATGGAGCAGGAACATCAGATTTCTCAAGGCTATAGGCAGCATGGCAGCTCCCAGAGTACCTAGTGCAGATTCCTAAGATGTGGGACTAATGATCACAGATATTTTGAACATTGATGGAATGGAAGCTTTTGCTGTTGATAAATTATGCCCCATTTAGATTTGGCACTCTCTATGCAACATGTGTACAGTTTATAGTGCCCTACACCTGGGAAAGTCAGCTATGTTGGCAAAGCCTACTGCCCAAGCTGCATTACTAAACTCACCACAGGGAAGTGAGATAAAGCCTTGTGATTGGGCACAACTTGCAACAGTAACAGCCTTGATACATGTGTGAGTGGAGTGGGACATGGAGGACTCCAACCAAGAGGGCCATGGCCCTAATCTTTGATTAGGACCTTATTCCCAAGGTCCTATCAGCACAAGCCTGATATGCACATACAGTTGGAGATTCGAAGTGCAGTGAAATTGCTGAAATATTTTCCTACCATCACCTATACTGGTCTCGAAAGGCAACATTGCATGTAAGAGCTTTTTGGAGAATACTTACAGTTCAAGTTAAGAGGAAATCATCTCCATGCCCTGGTACAGCTTTGAGAACACAGACTGACTTTATGAATTGTGGCCAGGTGCCACTTTTAAGTCATTTGTGATCTTAAACTTATGAGTTAACAAAAGAGTGAGTTTATTTGTTACTAGCTGCAAGAAGAAATAATTCCTCGATCAGGAATAAGAAGTGAGCCCAGAAAATTTAATAATCGGAACAAAGAAATACGATTAGTCTGTGGATTTGTGAAGAGTAGATAGTAGAACATTGTAGTCATTACAGTGGATTTTACCAACAGCTTTGATGTGGTAAATAAACATTCAATTTAGAAATTTTTAGCTTTGTACCTTGGTTGCAATTCTTCTGTCCAGGTTCTTTATGATACTGGCTGCCTAGCAGCACTCGAAGTGATAGATGTTTTGGCCCCTATTTTTTTTACTGACACTGCAGGACTGTTTAATGGCTGTTCTCAATGCTATGGCCTTCACACCACACTAGTCCACACATTATGACACCAGACCACTAACACATTGAAGCTCAATTTTTACTCCTTATTTTGTATTCCATAGAAAATGGCTTCCTGCTGAGAGGTTGGATAGTCAGATTCTCATTATCTGTTCCTTTTTAGTCATTCCATTTGTAGTTTCCCTAATGCTGTACACAGATGACATTTCAGAATTCGTCTCCAGACAGGCAGTGAATTTACATCTGCAGTCATTTTTCGACTGAATCCTTTTTAAAAACAAAAACACATTCCAATTAAATGTTTTATATTTCCATGGATGATCTGGGGTAATGACTTGTGTCTTGACAATTTCAGATCCTTAAAACCTTGTTAAATATTGATGATCAATCAGCCTGTGCTAATGATGGTATCCACAGCTCGTTTCTTTTGGCACCAAATCCTAATATGAACTTTATTATTGAAAATATTCATTCCAACATGAAGCAAGATTAATTGTTTTCTCTCTCTGTCTTTCACAACAGGGTGTCACTCCAATAAAGAACGCTCATGCTCCATTTCGGAAAAATACATCATTTACCAAAACAATAGCAGAAACATTGGATAGCTGACAACTTATAGTTTGAAATTGCATTGTTCCCATTCACAGAAATTAACGTTCACGGAAATTAGATAATATGTATTATACCTGTTGCTGCTTATTCTCTTTTTACTGCTTCTATACAGAATCCGGATCATTCATTTAACATCAATTCTGAAATAAATAAAAATGTGCCAAAAGATTAGAAACTTTATTTTTCAAAGTGTCTCGTGGTAATGCCAATGAAAAAAGCAGCATGTACCAGAACTGAATCTCACCTGATTAGAAAGAAGGCATTACAGAGTGAGGTTCCACTACCCCTGCTGAACTTTAGTGGTCTGAGTTGCAAAATTGTCTATTGCTAGTTTGTAATTCTCTGGCAAAGCTAATGACCATTATATTATGATCCTGCACAACTAGCCATTGATTTTAAATAATATACACTGTTGTACGATTCTATGACTCTGTAATATGTTCTCACACATACATTCCTCCTCTTTTGGGTAATGGTGGTGAAATGTTGGAAGGTTATAGCAGGCTGATTTACCTGTTGTTTGTATCTGTTTGATCTCTGTAAACACTTGTTCCGTGGCCAACAAGTTCTGGAGTGTGACTTGGATCTGGAACATATGGCTCAGAGGCAGTACGTAACCTATAGAGTCACAAGAGTTCCTTAACAGCTGGAACATTTCAGGCTTCTTGCAGAGTGCTTCCTACCTGCCATCGAGAGTAAGATCATCAGAGCTCAGCTTCACAGGGTTCGTCATGTAGTTTGCATGCAGGATTTATGGGTAAAAATGGCAGTATTCTACAGTCAGTTATGCATGAAAACCACGCAAGACATTCCAAACTTCAATATATAGACAATCTGAAAGTCAACTTCGGAGCGTGCAAGCTGGTTCTCAATATGTAGGGAAAAAAGATTTTGGATAGACCCAAATGGGAAAGTTCCTGTCATCAAGTGACTTCAACATTTGAGGAGAGCGAAATAGTGTGACTTCAGCACCAACAAGCATGGTGCAAACGGCAATGCCTCCATCCAACCTTCTAATATTTGTCTCCAAGATGGTGGCAGAGTAGGATTCCTGAGCAGGAGCTTATCCACTCCACGTGTTTCTTTTCCTTTTATGTCTCTTTGTATTTTTGTATCCTTTTGTATCCTCAGGTAGCATTGGCGATGTCCAGGGTGAAAGCCGGTGTGGACTCCCGGCCTCAGCATGGACTTAAACTCCTGAAATCTGGGCTCATTGTGAACCCGAACTCACAGCCTCAGCGTGGACTCGAGCTGCTGACCTCAGCGTGAACTCAACTCTTGCCACTCCCAGCCTTGGGGTGCAGGCTGACACAGTCTGGGTTGGAAGGATTGTTGTTCTGAACTCTTTTTTCTCTATTTTTCTAATTTATTGCTAGACTTTTTAATTCTTTACTTTTCTAATATTTTTCCCTAAGAATTTGTACTTAAAATTCTGCATTATGTATCTTTTCACTGTATTCATGTGAGTACGTGACCATAAAGCTAATTCCAATTCTAATACTGACTTCAAATGCAGCTATTTACAGTTGATTATGCTTGAACTAATATCTCATGAGATGATATCAAACTGGACCATAAACCAATCTTCCTGTTTTCTTGAGTTGTCATCCATTGAAGTGATAGAAGAATCCATTTTTTTCCATTTTAATGATATTACAAATTTACACAGTAGGACTGTTTCTTACTACATATTCAGTAGGAGACAGTGAGTTTTCACTCTTCTAATTTTCTACTAGGTGAGACTGGCAAAATGACATTTTGTTGTCTATCCTTTGTTCACCTGAATGCATCAAAACGGGACTGAAGTTATATGCAGTTCTGACTTTGTAAATGTGCCAGGTTAACTTTCCTGGCTAACATTGAACAGAAATAGGCCATTTTCTTCAACTGGCCCATGCTGCACTTAAACTTTCACCCACCACATATCATCTTTTAGCATAATCCTCTATTCCTTTCTTCCACAAGTTTTTCTAGCTTCCTATCAAATACATCTTATATTAGATGCCTTGGATACTTGTGGCATTGAGTTCTACATCATCACCACTCTGATTAATTAAACTCCTATTTAATACCATGTTGGATTTATTGATAGCTAACTTATATTTGTGGCTTCTATCTTCAGACTCCTCCACAAGTTGAACCATTTTCAGTACAACTACTCTATTAAGCACTTTCAGGTATGTAAAAACATTCAGCTAGTTGGTTTTCTTCCAACAATCAAGTAGCATTCGTAGTCGCTTACTCCCTGGTGTCAGTTGACAAATTAAGGGACTTAACAAATTTAGTTGCTCAGCCTGCAATCATTTGAACTCCTGGCATCTGGGATATTAGTCACTGCCATTACCATAATGTTACTGTGCCTTTTACTCTTCAGGGCTTTAAATGTTGATATATATTGTTCCAATTTGATACTGTTTTTGGTTAATGTCTAAATTACTTCCAATAAAAGTTTCACTGGAGCTAATGCAGCTAATGTTTTAATGAAGATCTGTAGCTCGGGTTGCATTTGGAGTTATTAGTTGGTTCGCCGAGCTGACTGGTTTACATGCAAATGTTTCATCTCCCTTCTAGATGACATCGTCATTGCTGTGTAGCCTCCATTGAAGCGCTGTTGTTCTGTTCCATTCTGAATTTATATGGTCCGGTCTGTCATGGTGGGCAGTCTTGTTTCCGGTTTTGTACCATAGTGGTATGTAGATGGTGTCTATTTCATAAGACCATAAGACATAGGAGCAGAAATTAGGCCATTCGGCCCATCGAGTCTGCTCCATCATTCAATAATGGATGATAAGTTCCTCAACTCCATTTTCCCACTTTCTCCCCATAACCCTTGATTATCCCTTTGATAATCAAGAACCTATCTATCTCAGTCTTAAATGTACTCAATTTCCTGGCCTCCACAGCCTTCTGTGGCAGTGAATTCCATAGTTTCACCACTCTCTGGCTGAAGTAGTTTCTCCTTATCTCCGTTCTAAAAGGTCTTCCCTTTACTCTAAGGCTGTGCCCTTGGGTCCTAGTCTCTCCAACCAATGGAAGCATCTTCCCAACATCCACTCTGTCCAGGCCATTATTCTCTAAGTTTCAATTAGATCCCCCCTCATGCTTCTAAGGTCCAATGAGTATAGCCCCAGTGTCATATTTCAACATGCTTGTAAATTGCAATGGTGTTTGAAAACTAGGCCTCCAGGAAATCTCATGCTTGTCTTTGTCTCACTTGTCCTAGTACTGTAACTTTGTCCCAGTCAAATTGATGTCCTTCTATGTCAGAGTGCATTGAAACGAGGGAGAATTAGTCATGCTGTTTTGTTGTGAGTTGGTGTTCATGTATCCTGGTGATGAGTTTCCTGCCCGCCTGTCCTATGTAGTGTTTCTCACAGTTGCTGCATGGTATTTTATAACCATGTTTGTCCTGCTCATTGTGGGTATGCAGTCTTTCATCTTTAAGAGTAACTGGCGAAATGTGGCTGTTGGTTTGTGTGCTATCCTTATTCCAAGAGCTCGTAGGAATCTTGTAGGCAGTTCTGATGTGTTTCTAACTTAGGGTAGACTGGCCAGTGTGTTGGGGCATACAGTGTCTTCTTGGTGTTGTTTGTTTGCCAGGCATCGGCAGACGAAGCTGAACTTGAAGGTCCCTTCTAAAGAAGGGTCTAGGCCCGAAACATCAGCCTTCCTGCTCCTCTGATGCTGCTTGGCCTGCTGTGTTCATCCAGCTCTAAACCTTGTTATATCGTCCATTGTGTTGTATTCCAAAGGCCCGAAATGTCAGCCTTCCTGCTCCTCTGATGCTGCTTGGCCTGCTGTGTTCAGTTGTGTTCATCCAGCTCTACACCTTGTTATTTCTGGAGAAAAAGGGAGGTACTTTATCCAAATAGGACATGCTGAGGAGACCAGATAGCCTCACAATGCAGAACTTGCTGGCTCGAAGTTACCATAAATATGCTTGTTAAATATTTGTGCTTTGGTTGGATTTGCTTATTGTTGCATCATTGAATAACTTAGCTTGACACCAGCAGATAGCTGCCATGAATTATGTATGTTATAGCAATAGAAACTCTATAGGCACTTAGCCTCTGTATTAAATGTCAGATTGAGAAGTTTGATATTTTATCCTCATTATTTTATCGTCTCCACAAATGGTTTTCTGGCAGGATAAAAGCTGATTCATGCTGTGTAAACTACAGGCAAGATTGCTGCTCTTTTCTATGATGTTAGTGGCTAAACTTTATCTTCTTCTACCTTTAAAATAACTTAAAATTTTCCAAGCTATTGAGTACGTTTAAAAGAAACATGCATCTTCATCTCTTTAATTAAAATTTTAATATTTGAAGTGAGGTACATTGCTAATGTCATTTTACATATGGTTCCATTTCAGTTTTCTAATAGTTAAATTTGAATGTGAACTGCTTCAAGTACAAATAAAACCATATATGAATTTTGTGTAACTAGTTTCAACAATAAAAATAGCAAATGCTTTTTGTTTATGGAGTTTTCAGTTGGTAAAATTGCACATTTTGCATACTTCTATTTCTTTATTAAGTAAGGAAATTGGAGTATGGACATTGATCTAAAGTTATTAACTTACAGTTACCGCTATTAGTTTTCTGTTCAAACATAAGATGTATTATAATATCTATTGGGATACTTTGTTCGATGCTAAATAAATAGTTAGAAGTGATCTAATGTTGATGTCATACTCACATGGGCCTGACACAAAGAATCTGTTCATTTTGCTTCAAATTTCCACCCCTCTATAACTTTCACATTATCCTTTCTGACACTTCCCTTCCTTTCCTTGATCTTTCTGTCTCCAACTCGAGAAATAAACTGTCCACTGCCGTCCACTACAAAGCGACTGACTCCCATAGTTACCTTCACTACAGCTCTTCACAGTCCACATCATGCAAGGACTCCATCCCATTCTCCTAGATCCTTCGTCTATGCTGCATCTGTTTGGATGCTGCCACCTTCCAAAACAGCGCTGCTGACATGGGTTCCTTCTTCCACAACCGTGGTTTCCCACTCACTGTGATTGACAGGGCCCTCAATCGCATCCGACCTATCACCTGTGCTTCTGGTTGCCCCTCCCCATCACTCACAACAGAGTGCTTGTTTTCATCCCAACAGCCTTCTCATTCAAAAGATCATTCTCTGCCATTTCAGACAACTCCAGCAGAACGCCACCACCAAACACATCTTCCCCTCACTCCACCTCTCTGCATTTTGCAGGGATCATTGCCTTCGGAACACCCTAGTCCATTCCATGACCACCAACACCGCCCCGCCTTCCCACAGCACCTTCCCATGTAACCGCAGAAGGTTCAATACCTGCCCCCTCTCCTCCTCCCTGCTCACCATCCAAGGGCCTCAACAGTCTTTCCAGGGGAAGCAGCATTTCACCTGTACCTCCTCCAATCTGTGTATTATATTCACTGCAACCAATGTGGCCTACTCTACATTGGAGAAACCAAACACAGACTGGGTGACTGCTTTGCAGAACAATCTGGGCTGTGCACAAGCATGACCCCAACCTTCCCATAGCCGTTCATTTTAACACAGTGTCCTGCTCGCATGCCCACTGTCTGTCCTCTGCATGCTGCAGTGTTCCAGTGAATCACAGCGCAAACTAGAGGAACAATATCTCATCTTCAGACTAGGCACCTTATAGCCTTCTTGGACTTAATATTGAATTCAACACCTTCAAATTGTGAATCAGCTCCCATTTCTTCCCTTTTAACTTTACTTGTTACATTCTCTGTCACCCTGTCCTCTCTCCCCTCCCTTTACCCCAGTGGGACTGTCTGTCCTTTCAAGACTGGCAGTTAGACACACCATTGTACTGCCATTCTCACATTCCAATTACTTGATCTGAACTGTCAACATCTTTTCTCTACCAGCACTCGACACCACACTGCCCCCACCCCCCCAACTATATCATAAATGCTGCCTCCTTCACACTTCATTTCACCTTTAATGCAAGATCATCTAGTCTTGAAATGTTAGCTTGCTCTCTGTCCATGGATGCTGTCTGATCCACTGTGACCTCCAGCATTTGTTGTTTCCGATCATGAAAGTTGGTGGAGTTGTGGATAGTGAGGAAAGATGTAGATCAGTTGAAAGTTGGGCAGAAAAGTGGCAGATGGAGTTTAAGCCAGACAAGGGTGAAGTGTTGCATTTTGGGAGGTCAAATGCAAGAGGAAGGTATACAGTAAATGGCAGGACCTTTGAAAGCATTGATTTACAGAGGGATCTTGGAGTCCAAGAAAGCTCCCTGAAAGTGGCAACACAAGGTGGCGGAGAAGGCATACAACATACTTGCTTCTTCAGTCAGAGCAGGAAGTACAAAAATTAACAAGTCATACTGCAGCTCTAC